GGGGCTCGAGAGCCACATGCGGCTCTTTGGCCCCTTGAGTGTGGCTCTTCCTAAGCCTTAGGAGTACCCTAATTAAGTTAATAACAATGTACCTACCTATATAGTTTAAGTTTAAAACATTTGGCTCTCAAAAAGAAATTTCAATCGTTGTACTGTTGATATTTGGCTCTGTTGACTAATGAGTTTGCCGACCGCTGTCCTAATCTGTTACAAGGGATAGTTGCAAAGAGTGCCTATTATTGTGTCGGGCACACAACAGTCTTCCACAAAGGGAAGCTCCTGCTGATGGTGTGTAATTATCATTACTAGTGTAATTATTGCATTTTTATAGGTGCTCTGTTTTTCAACATGGTACTTCTTACTGTCTTTAATGACATTTAATTTAAATATGGTTGCTTTTCAGTATATGTTGTGAGTATTATTTTGGATTTTCAGGGTGTGAGAAAATTATAATTGCTCTATATAGTCCTTTCTTTGCTATCTCTTTGTTATTTCAACAGTTGTAAAGGTCAGTCATTAATCTAAAGCTGTTCTTGCGATTTTGTACTGATGTAGATAAGCACTATTTCCAGCTTGACCATGGTACCCTGCTGTATACACCACAAATAAAGTTAAAGCAGGCTGTTAAGTTTTTTGATCATTGCTAATGAAACAAAATTCTTGAAATACATAAGCTCTATTTTTGATGTGGTTTCTTGTATGTATATGTATATATATGTGTGTGTGTATGTGTATGTGTGTATATACATATACGCTTTTATTATTATAGATATATTAATTGATTTTGGAGAGGTAGAGAGAGCTAGAGACATCAATGATGAGAGAGAATCATTGATTGGCCACCTCTGCATGCCCTCTACTGGGGATCAAGCCCGCAAACTGGGCACATGCCCTTGACTGGAATCAAACCTGGGACCCTTCAGTCTGCAGGCTGATATTGTATCTACTGAGCCAAACCAGCTAGGGCTGGTTTGTTAGTTTTTAAATATATTTTTATTGATTTCAGAGAGGAAGGGAGAGGGAGAGATAGAAACATTAATGATGAGAGAGAATCATTGATGGCTGTCTCCTGCACGCCCCCTACTGGGGATCGAGCTTACAACCCAGACATGTGCCCTTGACCGGAATCGAACCTGGGACCTTTCAGTCCGCAGGCCGAAGTTCTATCCACTGAGAAAAACCGGCTAGGGCTGGTTTATTAGTTTTTATACAGACTTTAGCTCAGTAAGACTTTTTTAACATAAGATATGATAGCAGGGTCTCTATTGGGATTCAGCAAAAACAGTATATCAGAATAGTTGTATATTTTTCTAAATTAAAATAGAAACTTGGCACAAATAATATTTAGGGCTCTTCAACATTGAAAAGAAAGTCTAAAAAATGGACCTCCTTCTTCTCCCTATGGACAAATAGAGCTATTGGAAGAAACCTCAGATGGGCTACACATCTCCAGGATAGCTTGAGAAGTAGTTATATAAATTACCATGAGATGCTTAGGAGCTGTATGATCATCATGTAAATGTAATGTTTACTACCCAGGGTTTTTCCTGATTATCAAGTTACACTGTTATATTGTCTTGGACTTAATCCTTCTCCACCAATGCAGATTCTTCAGAATATCCACATTTTATATTATGGAGAAATGCACATCTAAGAAAAATAACATGGTACATAGGTAGGTAGGTAGGTAGGTAAGTAGGTAGGTAGGTAAGGAAGGAAGGAAGGAAGGAAGGAAGTAAGTAAGTTAGGAAAGAAGGAAGGAAGGAAGAAAAGAAAGAAAGAAAGGGAAAGAAAGAAATCAAGAAACAAGAAAGAAATCCTAACCAGTTTGGCTGATGGGTTACGGGTTCGATTCTGGACAAGGGCATGTACCTTGGTTTCAGGCTTAATTTCGAGCCCTGCTCAGGGTATGTGCAGGAGACAACCAATCGATGTATCTCTCTCACATAGATGTTTCTCTCTGTCTCTTCCCCTCCCTTCTACTCTTTCTTAAAATCAATGAAAAAGTATCTTTGGGTGAGGATTAACAAAAAAGCAGGGTTACGGGTTCGATTCTGGACAAGGGCATGTACCTTGGTTTCAGGCTTAATTTCGAGCCCTGCTCAGGGTATGTGCAGGAGACAACCAATCGATGTATCTCTCTCACATAGATGTTTCTCTCTGTCTCTTCCCCTCCCTTCTACTCTTTCTTAAAATCAATGAAAAAATATCTTTGGGTGAGGATTAACAAAAAAGCCTGCGCGTGTGCACACACACACACACACACACACACACAATAATAATAATAAAAGAAAGAGAATTAAAGAAAAATAATTTTTCAAAAGACAGAGGAAGATTCAGATACTGATTTGCTAGTCAGTGTTTCGTTAATCATAACCAGGGAAAATCTTGTATATTTCTATCTGGACAACAATAGCTCTCAGTCTTATGGAAATAAATTGCTAATAGAGTCTGAGGCCTTAATCAAAAGGGCTTATCAAAAGTTAAGACTTCAACTCATTTTATAGATGAGCATCTAAAGCCCAAAGAGGCGAAGTGACCTGTCACGCGATTAGTGATTAGCGGCAGGCCTCCTGAATCCCAATCCCGTGGTCTTTCCGCTGCTCTGTAGTGATCTTTAGAAACTTCATACCAGTTTGACAATGTGTATGAAACAGGACAGCCTCCTGACTTCAGTAGCATACACAACTCGCAGAGACCACCACCGGTTCTTGCTGAGATTTGTAGAGATTTGTCTGAATCCAGAGAAGCATGTCATGCTCTATTCCTTACATATGGTAAGGCTCAGCTAAGAACACAGAACTGACTGGCTCAGAAGGAAGGGCTTCGTCCTCAGAAAGTAGAAAGTGGACATGTAACCGCTGTTTTCAATATATAATAAATCTAGTTCTTCAGGCTTCTGGAGCTGCTTGGGGTTCTGTCACAGCGCTCCCCAGGCTTAGTTAATACTTAACTTTTGTCAGATTAAAGAGACCTATAAGTATGTACCTAGATTACTAATATTGGCTCTGATTGCAGATGTTAAAGCATTTTAAGTTGAGGGGGGGAAAGTGTTCCTTTGGTAAGCCAGGCCAATACCCAAATGTTGCATAATAACCAGACCATGTAAAAATTCTATGAGGTTGTTAAGCAATAAGTGTTAATAGCTCATTTTTATGATTCAGAAAGCGGGGGTGGGGTGGGGTCGGGGGGAACGGGACAGTTTGCCGTATTTCTCCAAAACTCACAAGTATCTCACATATTTGGGAGTAGAATTCAACTTTAATCTCCTACTTAGTCCATAGGTCCTTACTGTGTAAAGTATATCTTTGATAATTTAGACAATTCGTTCCTCTCCCCTTTCCATTATCACTAATCTAGTCCAATCCTCATTACTCTCAGTGATTATGACCGTTGCTTCTGTTATCCCTGTTTCGGGTCTCTTTTTCTCCCAGTCTGTCCTCCTGCTTAGTTCAGATCAAAATACACTATTCTTCGTAAGTCATGGCATCTCTGTTCTACCAGAGTGAGCCCTAACCCTTGAAGAAAGAGTTCCATTGCTGGGTCTTAAATGTGTCTCCAGCCTTACCACGCTCCGCTTTTGCACTGCGGCACCCTCTACGTCAGCCGCTGCGCTCCTCTGGAATCTCATTTTCTCAGCTGCCTATTCCCTCTGCTTCCTCAGGACTCCTGCTCTCTTTCCTACAACTTTGAGTGTCAGCGCACATACACTGACTCATTTAATGCTGTAACTCTACAGGTGAATGTATCATTGTCTCCATTTTACAGGTGTAAGAACCAAGGGACTCAAAAGTTAATTTGCTATTAAGGAGTGGGACTGGAACATTAGCCTGTGTGGTCCCAGATTTCAATCCCCCCTCTACCATCCTGCTGCCCACTATACCATGGTGACGCTCCCTAAGCCTTCCTGGATTTCTTTCTTGCTCATTCCAAGGCCAATGTTGGGAGTCGAATTCAACTTTAATCTCCTACTTAGTAGAATTCAACTTTAATCTCCATAACATTCCAAGTTATGTTCTCTGTTCAGAATCACCATAGCTATTTGTTTGGACCTTCTCCTGTCACTTATGTGTGTATCTGTGCTTAGACACTATTATATATGTGTGTGTATTCACCTTATCTGCCCTTTAAATTTTAAGATCCTTGAAAACGGAGGTGTGTTTGATTTGTCTCTTATTTCCTCCAAAGCACCTTTCCAAAACGTATACGCTCAAATTTAAAAAGCACTCTTCTTTCATAAATACAAATAAATCTGTCTTTCCCTACAAGGCAGTGATATGCAATGTTCGGAATACCCTCACTTGGGTACACCTTGTCTGTCTTGGGGTGCGGAAAACGTGGGAGTGGGAGAACACCGTGGAATAAGGCATAGTTACCATGTACAGATTCCGTCACTGACTGCCACACTGTCTAGCTAAGTAAGCCCGTTCCCTGAAACTTGTATGAAAGATTATCTGCAGATGAGATTTTGAGGAAACTGGTAAGATGCGCGCAACTCAGTGAAACTCTAGAAAAATTGCAGTTTTGAAGAAAAGGTATTGGCTCTGATACCAAAAAAAAAAAGGTGTACAGCTGTGCTAGCTCTGCCCAATGAGCTACTAATCTTATATTATCATCACACGGACCAAATTTAGTAATATATACACGTGAAAGCATTTTACAAAGCAAACAACATACATGTTCAAAACCTTCAGATTGTGGGAAAGTTCTAATGAGATATTTTTATATATATTTTATTGTCATAATTTAAGTTCTGCCTGTGCTGATCTCTAGTGTCATTAAAAGAAGAGATCGTGGGCTTCAAGAAGATATTTAACTAACGTCTCTGTGTTTCGTAGGAGAGAAAAAGGCCAGAGATGGGTTGGGGACTGGGAATCCAAAATCTGTTAAGATTCCTTTGTGCAAAGGCAAACAATTTTGCTGTTATTGACATCTTAGTAGTTTTTATTGTGATCCTTATTGTTATTTCTTTGAATTTACAGACAAAGTGGCGTCTGATATACTTGAAGATTATAGTAAATACTTGCCTCACGATGTTGTTGTGAGGACTGTGAAGTTATGCATTCTGTTTGCTGTGCTTTTGACAGTCCCTCTAATCCACTTCCCTGTAAGTACTCTTAAAGGTTTTGCTGTTGGTGTAGCAGCTCCCTAATGTGGCAACACTAATGCTTTGCAGACTAGAATGTTTGAATCACATCTAGTCTTGTGTATCTTATTCATTTGTTAAGTAATTGATCAAAGACCTCATACTTGCGTATAACCCATGAATGCACAAAAATAACAGTGAGCCCCTAAGCTAATTTGTGCTTTTTGAGATTTAGTTTAGATTTATGCTTTCCCACAGCATTGTTTCCAATTTAGAGACTATAGTTCTTCTAAGGTTTTGGATGTGTGTTTTTTTTCCTCCCTTTTTAATTCTGTATTCTGTTTTTTTCAAAAGAATGTGCATGAAGAGGAAAAAGTCAAGTCAGCAAAAATAAGCTCCTTCTGGTTTATTGTAAATTTATCTTCATGTAGACATTCTAGTTTAATCTAAGTCCAACTATTTTATTTGCTCTAGAATTATAGTTTAAGGGCAGAACAGATTTTCATTCTGCATTTAGTTGCCATACTTAAGAATCTTAAGAATTTCTGAGAAAATGGAAACAAAGGCTTTGGGTATAAATGCTTCTGCATGGAAGTCCTGAATTCCTGAACAGTGAGTTCCTTAAGACCTGGGCCTTCAGGAGTTCTGCCCCCTCCCTGTGCGGACTGCAGGGCCAGGAGTGCAGCAGGGGCTGTGTAAACATTTGTGGATGTGACCGCCTGCTGCCTGCCTTAGCAGTGGGAAGTGTCATGAATTAGTTTTCATATTTACATGCTGTGAAACAGATAATATAAAATAAAATAGTAAGTGGTGTTTCTTCCACATGGCATGATTTCTTTTCTCGTTTTAAACCTTTTGTTCTTCTGTTGAAATTAATGATTCTCCGAGATTTCATCGCACAGTGTTATTGTTGGTACTTTTGAAAATTATGCAACTTAAATTGTATGTGAACATTTTTTCAAGAATTAAAGCAAAATAATTTTTATGAAGATCACACAGAAATATGTATTTCTTAGTTTGTGAATAATAAACACGATAATGGGTTATGTTATATTTTTGAAAACTAAGTGGTGTTGGGGACAGGAATGTCATGGTTACGGTACTGTACATGTGTTTCCCCAAGTGAGTATTTTGGCTTTCACACTTTCTCTTTGCTTAAATCTCTTTCTCTTTATGCTATACAGGCAAGGAAAGCTTTAATGATGATGTTTTTCTCCAATTTTCCATTCTCATGGATTCACCATTTTGTGATCACACTAGCACTCAATATTATCATTGTTTTACTTGCAATATATGTTCCTGACATTAAGAATGTATTTGGTGTCGTTGGTAAGTTTTATATTTCAAAAAGATCCACATAATAAAATGGGTAAACTTGTTATCCAGCCTAACATCTGAGTCTGGCAATCATCCTCTCTCTTTCTCCTGCTTAAAGGTTCCAGCACATCCACATGTTTGATTTTTGTATTCCCAGGACTGTTTTATCTTAAACTTAGCAGAGAGGATTTCCTCTCATGGAAAAAGCTTGGGGTAGGTTGATTTTTGTTTTGTTTCTTTTAAGAATCCTATTTTAAGAAATAATTTGTCGTTTTCTAATTATTTTATCTACATAAAAAATAATGTATTTTGAGTGATAACAAACATTATTGGAAAGAGTAGAGATTTAAAAAAATACCCTAATTGTTTTTATCTTTTTTCTTATTTCCACAGGCCTTTGTTTTGCTCATCTTTGGAATTTTGGTTGGGACTTTTAGTTTAGCCCTCATCATTTTTAATTGGATTAATAACAAATGAAAGATACTTTTTTCCATTTCTTGTGAAGAATAATTTACCTCCATATGCAAAAAAACCCCCACCCAATTCTGGAAGGTACCTTAGAAGAATGCTCTCTATATGGGTTAACATTTTTGTAAACATTATTAACTGAAAAGTGGAACAACATGGGAGTGGGCAAGGGAAAGTGGACTCATAGCAGTTTTAATCAAAATAAGAAACAAACTCAGAAAACTCTTAAATGTATTAGGTCAATCTTTTCTTTGGCTATTTGTGAGTCTGTTGCTTTTTTTAGATTAATAGACTTAGTTTTTTAGGGTAGTTTTAATTTTCACAAATGTTGAGCACAAAGTAGATTCCCATATGTGGCTTCACCCCCAAAACATCCATAGTTTCCCATATTATTAACATCTTGAATTATTGTGGTATATTTATTATACTTGTTGAGCCAAATATTATTATTAACTGAAGTCCATAGTTCACATTGGGGTTCACTCTTGATGTAAGCATTGGCAATCACTAATCATTTTACTACTTTTGTAAAAACTCTGAGCCTTTTCTATCTAGCATGTCCTGTAGTTGGAATTAAAAATAGTATCTAACCTTTCAGACTGGCTTCTTTCACTAAGCAATATGCAATTAAGTTTTCTACATGTCTTGTCATGGCTTGGTAGCTCATTTATTGGATGTACCACAGTTTTGTTTTCCATTCACCTATTGAAGGACCTCTTGGTTGCTTCCAAATTTTGGCAGTTTTGAATAAAACTGTGCAGTTTTTTGTATGGACATAGATTTTCAGCTTATTTGAGTTAATACCAAAGGACACAATTGCCACATCATGTGGTAAGAATATGTTTAGTCTTGTAAGAAATTGCCAAACTGCCTTCCAAAGTGGCTGTAACATTTTTCATTCCCACCAGCAGTGATTGAGAATTCCTGTTATTCTACATCCTCCCCAGCATTTGGTGTTGACAGTATTTGGTATTTTACCATTCTAATAGGTGTGTAGTTGTACCTCTGTTGTTTTAATTTGTATTTCCCGAATGACATCTGATGTTGATCATCTTTTCATGTGCTTATTTGTCGTCTGTGTGTTTTCTTTGGTCAGGTTCAGACCCTATGCCTGTTTTTTAAATTGGGTTGTTTTCTCATTGTTGAGTTTTAAGCATTTGTGTATTTTAGATACCGGTTCTTTATCAGATAGGTGTTTTGCATAGATTTTCTCCCAGTCTGTTTCTCTTTTCATTCTCTTTAACAGTGTAATTCACAGAGCAGAAGTGTTTAATGTTATTAAATATATTAAGTCAATCTTTTGTTTATTTTTGAAAGAAATCAATGTGTTAAGCTATATACAAAATTGAATCTTAGCTTGTGGGCTAATGTTTCAACGTCAGTCACCAACAAAACTGTGGGATTATTCCATTTGGTACTTTGCCCTGACTCCAAATCCTCTCCGAGAAACTTGTATGATTTTTCTCTGTTGTGCATTATGAGACAGAATTGTGATGCTTGGCTATGGACTTGAAAGCTCTCTGAGCTTTCTTGTTTGTCACTAAAACATGTTACTTTCTACTTGGCAATATGACAAATATTGATGCTTTGTGTCATATTTTGTTTGGAGGTTATAAATCATTCCAGTCTTCCCAGTGATGTGGCTTGTTTCTGGTTGGAAACCAGAAGCTGGGTCTCTCCTCCCCGTGAATATTCTATGTAAAGGGCACCTTAGCAGCTTACCAAAGTCAGGGTGTATCAGTGAAAATGTAACCCCATCCCTGTGCACATGGAAAGTAGGGAATTACATGCAAAATGCCAATTTGCATGTATGGAAATCCACACTTTTGCAGGTGCCTCTTGCTTCCCACTTAGGAAATTGGCTGAAAAATTGACAACTGAGCTTTTCTTTTGAGTTAAGATACTTTGGCAAATCTGAGATCTGCATGGTATAATGGAAGAAGTCCAAGTTTGGGGGTTAGAAAGACTTAGATTCAAATCTCAGTGAGTTTAGGGAAACTACTTAACCTCTCTAAGCCTCCACTTTCACATAGGTATTAGATGGAGTTAATACCAATTATACAGGGTTGTGCTGAGAGGATTAAGTGACCTTGTATAAATTAGGTACAGTTTGAAATAGGCTCCCTTCATAGATTAGCTATTTATCCCCTTTCTTCCATCCCTTTATCTGGAGCAATAAAATAAATTTGCTTTCAATCAGGGACATGGAATTTCTTCATCTTGCATCTTGCACAACTGTAGTGCTTTCCCACAGTTCTACCCCAGCTGGACTCCTACTAATGCCTTCCTGAAACTGGGCACTTCGCCTGGTCCCAGAGGCACCGCCAGGCATGGCCTTCCATGTGGCTTCGGGTCAGCCAGAGTCTATCAACCTGATAAGCTCATTCTTGTACCCTCTTTTTCTGTTTATGAAATTATAAATCCAAATACAAATAGGGGTTCAGCTGCTTAAATAAATCTAACTGCAGTAATGCCAAAATAACCCCAAGTCTGCAACAGATGCAAGGATGCCCCCTGGGGCAAATGTTAAGTGTGATGACAGCTGGGCATCAATTATTACATTTGTCACCCGCTCATGGGATAGGATCATGTGAGGTTTGGCAAAGGGACAAGTAACCTATTGAACACTCTGCACAAAACTCTGTTAATATCAAGAGAAATTATTTGTGGAGGTGTTTTTATTTTACGTTAATATCCTGCCTTATCTAGTTGCCTGTTTAGAGTCACAGCTTTCCCTATGAGTTTGGAAGAAGCTAATAAGATGGCTGGTGTGAGCAGTGCCCCCTTCACCGGCATTACCCAAAAGCCTTCAAGTACTCCTCAGCGTTTTTCCTGCGAAACATAGGCCTTCTCATTATGGGCTTAATGTTCATAATTTATTAGGTAATAACTATTTAAAATAAAACGAAGTTAAGCACAAAATGTATACTTCTCCAACACTTGGAGACTTGTTTGCTAAATTAAAAGACGAAGTGCTGAGAATATAAAATTACTTTCATATGTTGAGGGTGAATGTTTAAATTGTACTTTTTTTAACGGAATGTTTACTCATGAGCTTAGCATTTAAATGGTTAAAACAAGCCTTTGAAGTTAACACTCCATTAAGATGAATGGGGGTAATTCACACCTCTGCTGGTGCTGTATTATTTCAGTCTGGCTGCGGAGAAAACAAGACAGCAGTGGGTTGATTTACTGTGTGAAGGCCCTTTAAACACCCAAGGTCTGGAAATCTTTGTTGTTGTTTTTTTTCTTTCTCACCTAGAAGCAGAATCTGAAATTCAGCACAATTTAGGTATAGAATTGAAGTCTTGAAAGTACCATAGATTCTCTGTTATCTGCAAGTTCCTCCCTGGCTTTATTTGTTCCTGTACTCTAGTCTTTCTTCCTACCATGGCACCATCTATGTTAAAGTCCCACTAGTAATTCACCAGTGGAAAAGCAGAAAGAAACCATCCATTTTCAGGTAAACTTTGCACATGCCTTTAAATGGATTATGAAATAATGCTCGCATTATCATCTTCGCAACTCTCAAGTTCTGCCTTTGCCTAACATAAGGTTTGCATCTTTAACAGCTGTTTTCTTCCCCATTTGGGGGTATGGCATGTGGTTGAAGTGAGCAGGGATCCAGTGGGAGAGGCCTTTGTCAGTGTGTTCTCTGTGGTAGTAATGTTGTATATTTGAAATGTGCATTCCCCCCATTGATGGAAGTCTTCTAGCCAATTGATTCTGAAATAATTAGTTTTAGAGGCTAGGAATAAGGCTGTATGAGCATTTTATGAGCAGTGCCCCCTTCACCATGTCAGTGAATTTGGAAGATCTTTTTTTTTTTTTTTTTTTTTTTTTTTTTTTTTAATATATTTTATTGATTTTTTACAGAGAGGAAGGGAGAGAGAGAGCGAGTCAGAAACATCGATGAGAGAGAGACTTCGATTAGCTGCCTCCCGCACATCCCCCACTGGGGATGTGCCTGCAACCCAGGTACATGCCCTTGACCGGAATCGAACCTGGGACCTTTCAGTCCGCAGGCCGACGCTCTATCCACTGAGCCAAACCGGTTTCGGCTTGGAAGATCTTTTTAACGTAAACAGATTTTTCTTGTGTCCAGTCTCTGCCCGTGTATTTGCAGGATCAAGTTGCTAGATAATCTGTGGGCAGCTGGGTGTGGACAGTATTTCCATTTGGGCTGCCTCTCATGTTGACATTGCCAGTACAGTATATAGAAATGGAAAGTAGATGCTAGAAACACAAGGGCCCAACCAATTCATCTAAACCTGTATTGGGCTGTTTTAGAATTAGCCCAATTGAAAACAGTTTGTTTCCTGCAAATTACTCTGCCTAAATTTCAGGTGTCATAATTTTTGTTCTTAGAACTTCTCAGAACCTTCTGTAGTAAAATTTGTTTTTCTAATTTAAACACAAAATTTATCCTTTTTTCTCCTGTCTTAATCCTTCAATAGTCTCTCTGTATG